TGATCATGTAGTTTGTAAGAATTTATGAGACCTAATATTGTTGATCCATGTTTACGACCTGACTCTCCCCAGCAAAAAATGCTGGGCTAAACAAATATAAAAATATTATTGAGTTCACACATTCAATAATGTAGATTGTTTCCAATTGAAAAAAGCAAAGAACTTCTGATTGTAGCTTATGTTCCATGTTTTTTTGGGGGTCTTGGTTTTCAATGATTGAACAGAATTTTTTGCTTTGATGCATCATCATTGAAATTTGTTAGTTCACTTGATGAATAACACGTCTCAAGTGACGATCTGTTGCTTGGACATTTATAAAATTCTATTCAACTTCCCTTCGGATATTTCTTTATTATTGTCACTGTTATCTTATTTTCTCTTTGAACTTAGACTATATTCTTTGGCTCTTCGTAAGTCTTATGAAAAAGTATAGTGCTTAGCCCCCAATTTTATAAGAGTGGAGGTTTGTCACTATTTTTGTTTTCTATATGATGTTAATTTAGACCTCGATGGGTGGATAGATATGCCCAATTACATACTGTATTATAGGTGAATGTTTAATGCAGGCACTTCCTATCAGAAATGTGTATACATGGTAAGAAAAATGGAAGTTATGCTCTTAGTGTTCAGCGAAGTGCATTTATATTGTACTAATGACAATAATTATTACATTGATGAACAATCACTTATAATATTGGAGCAGTTTGAAACGCAACAGGTTATCATCAATTGCCTTGGCTTATTGAGAAGTACAAGAAGGTTATCATCATATCCTTAATTCTAAGCTTTTGGATGGGTCATTTATCTGTTTATTCAATGATGCTTGTCATGTCCGCATATATATTAGTTTCAATGTGTTACTTTCACTTCATTGAGGCATAATGTTTAGTTAATTTTCTTTTTCAGATTGTTCTCTTATTAGGGTATGGGCTGGACACTCCTCCAAATAAACTGTTCAAGGCAGTTGAAAAGAAAGGAGCCGGTGGTCTATAATTGCAGGTGGTCTAGTTAATTTAGCTCAAGAAGAAGCTTTTGGGGAGAAGAAAGGTGCCGAATTCGAGAAGAGAATCCACAGATTCGAATGTAGATGCAAGGAACTTGCCATTGATGACTTAGTTTCTTCAATTTATATTCAAACAAATTGTGTTGGATACGAATAACATATATTACTGTGTTATTCTACGCATAGCGTAGCACACCCTTCATTAGTAGCAAACATTGGAGAATGGGTTGATTGATTTCTATGGAAAATGTGGACTTTTGAGTGATTCATATAAGATCTTCAGTGGAATTTCTTTGAAGAGTATGGTCTCTTGGAACAATCTTCTTTAAGTTTGCGGTCTCATAGATAAGTTTTTTATCTAGGACTTTTCATAGAAACCTTGTACACACGTCCTTTGTAATTAACCATGGTTTATACCTATCATCCACAATAGATCTCAATGCGATCTAATTAAGATATGGTATGGTTTGGTTTAATTCCTGCAAATTGAATATGTTCAGTGTTTTCCAGATGTTTAATTCACATATTAGCGAGTATAGACTTGCATCCATCACATACCATGCGAAGACAGAAAATGTGTGGTTCAATGGTCTTGCTCCTCTCGATTTAATATGTCCCCAGTAAGTGGTTCAAATAAGTGAGCAATGTAGGAAAGCGAATTTATCAAACAATTTAGAAACAGAAATAGCAAAAGAAGAACTTTTGCACTTGAAATAATTGACATATTTGAAATCCTTTGAAAAGGTAAAAAAAAGAAAAAAAGAACATAACCTGACTATTGAGCACTAAACAATCATATCTTTATCATCATGCGTCCAATGTGAGACCAGTCATATAAACTTTGCCGTTCCAAAATTTGACACACATGGTTTATATTCCTCTCCAATGCAATAGAAATCTTTACTCACTAAATGTTCCAATATTTTGATTTATATGGTTCATGGTTTTGTTCAATGCATCAGAATGGAGCCTAATGGTGCATGGTGCTTACACACATTGAAATATGCTACCAATTGCTTGTAAACAGTCACCACAATGATTTTTACGACTGCATCGCTTGTTTTATAATGTTAATAGAAAGGACTTTAATGGTTTCTGCAATTATAGATCATGGGAAATTTTTTGTTATGATGTGCATCCCCTTCACAGTTATATGGACTTTACAAAAATCACGGTTTATGGGATAAATTTTTTTGTTATGATATTCATCCCAACTTTTTATCACAATGACCATTGCGTTTCTAATTGGAGAGAGCAAGAGAGAGGAAGGGAAAAGGGAGGGGGGGGGGGGTGGGAGGGGTCTTGGTTTACCTTGACCGGCTTCTAACATGCACCAATGGTCAAGCATAAATAAATTGAAACAAAATACACAACAATTTAAAACTACTCAAAAATCAAATAACCTTTATATCAGTCATTGTTGAAACTGGTTGCATACTCAAATCTGATGGGAGTAAACTTCTTACATACTATTTAGTCATATCAAACACTTTTCAATAAAGGTAATACAAACATAAATGCATTCGCTACACACAAGAAAACTACAAACTGTTGCATACCCCCTAAAGTATTAATAATTTGTTGTTGAAAAACCATCGGTTTTGGCTCGACCATAGTACGCTCTTGTGATTCTTGTGACTGATTGTTCTGGTGTATATTGCGATGTCGTAATTCATCCCTTCCAAGTATTCATCGTACCATTGAAAAAAAGTACAATTTGTACATCGATAGTACATTCTTTCAGGTTTAGATTGAGAGCTCCTTGTACTTAATTTGCATTGTAAATTGCACCGTGGACAGGTTCGTCATTGATATCCTCCAGCACTAGTGGAAACTGATGACATGCTATGTACTTCGATGGTCTGGACCTGCATCCTAATTTCATAAAAAGGAAACAATAGAAATAAATTTCTCTTGTATATCATAATCAACTAATAAAGTATCCAATCCAAAAAATAAAAAACTCATTGTTGACTGACTGATTGTGTTACACAGACCCATTTTAAATGACATCGCTCGTCCATAAGAAAGCATCAGTAAAATGACATCACTCATCCATAAGAAACCATGTTAAATTGGCATCCATAAGAAGCACCAGTAAAAAGTAAAATGGCATGGTAAATGACATCCACAATTGTTTAGTTGCTATGTGCAAGACATTCAACCATTGAAAAATCGAAACCCCCAAATGTGGCCTCAAAATCTGTGAGATACAAATTTCTAAAAAACTTTCTGTGCTCTGTGTAAGACATTGAAGCGCTGAAAAAACGAAACCCCCAAATATGACCACAAAATCTGTGAGATACAAATTTCTAAAGAAATTTATGTGCTCTGTGTAAGACATTGAAGAACTAAAAAACCGAAACCCACCCAAATGTGACCACCAAATTTGTGAGATACAAATGTCTAAAGAAATTTATGTGCTCTATGTAAGATATTGAAGCACTGAAACACCGAAACCCTCAAATGTGGACGTAAAATCTGTGACATACAAATTTCTAAAGAAATTTTTGTGCTCTGTGTAAGATATTGGAGCACTGAAAAATCGAAACCCCTAAATGTGGCCACAAAATCTATGAGATACAAATTTCTAAAAAGCATTTTGTGCTTTGTGTAAGACATTGAAGCACTGAAAAACCGAAACCCCCAAATGTAACCACAAAATCTGTGAGATACAAATTTCAAAAAACAATTTTGTGCTTTATATAAGACATTCAAGGATTGATTCATCTATGGGCAACCATGGTAAAATGGCATCGCGATATCAATAAAATGTAAAATGACATCCATCATAAGCATCAGTAAAATGTAGAATGACACATCAATAAAATGTAAAATAGCATGCATCATGAGTATCGTTATAATGAAAAATGGCATCCATTAGTAAAATGTATAATGGCCATGGTAAAATGGTGAAGCATCTGAGAAATGGATAATTATTACCTGAAAGTCGCGTGAGGGGCTTGCTTATGCAGATCGAGGGGGCAGCAGGAGAGCGCCACAGGTACGATGAGTGAGAGGGGTGCGAGGTTTACAGGGCAGCAATGTGAGATAGGCACAGGGGAAATGGGAAAATGGGATTTTGGGAGTTGCAGGGAAAATGGAAAAATGGGGGCGATGAGAGAGAGGGACGCGAGGTTTATAGAGAGAAGGGAGACAGAGCGCAAGGAATGGGAAAGTTGCAGAGGGAGGGGGTACAGAGAGAGAGAGTTCGTAGAGAAAGTTGCAGGGAAAATGGGATTTTTGGGAGTTTTGAAGTGACCGTGGATGCTTCGATGGCTTATCTCAACCGTTGGCGCATTCTACCCATATACGTGACATCACGTATTTAATCTTTTCCATATATATATAGGGCAATGATTTCATGTTATGGCCATTTGTTTGATTCAAATTTTGTAATATAAACTCTTTTCATTCTAATAAAAAGTATTTTTTTAGCCTAATTAACATAGGCCATTCATTTTGGTTAGATGCTTAGATCTAGGTCTTAGAAGGATTTTTTCATTTCCAATTTTTTTGGATGGTTTTATTGTCATTAGATGAACAATGTTAAAAATAAAAAAAAAGTGATTTTGAGTTTATAAAGGCCAAGATCTATAAATTCACAAGATGAGTAGTCTAGATTCGTTTTCGAATGGGACTCATTTTGACGGTATATAGGGTCCAAATTAAATTTTTTTTTGCTGGGATTGATTATTGAGATGAAGAGCGTGTGTGCAACATTTTGGGTCATACAAATATCACAGGTTTTTTGGAAGTTTCGTTGCATTAGATCATTGCTCATATATATATATATATATATTTAATTTTTTTTTTTTCTTTTTTTTTTTTTAAATACTACCTGGCCAAAAATAGTTGGGCCGGAGGCCGGTTCCGGTTTATTCGGCCCGTCCCACGTCCGGCCCGATTAGTCGAATGATGCTTGTGAGTCAGCGGTAAAAAAAAAGAAAACTTTTCCTTTTGTATTTCGGGAGTTGAGCCAAGTTGTCCAGAAATAAAGAGCGAAACAGATCCCATGACGCCAGCCTCTCTAACCGCCATAATTTGTTGGTTTGCGGGATCCAATCCAATTGATGAGAGGAGTTACTCTCTTTCTTTTTATATCTTTTAAATGTAAAACGTTGAGTAGGCTTCTGATATTGATTTCGAGGGAGACAGATAGAGAGAGGGGTAAAGATGGGGAGCTCGAGCTTGAAATCCGCGGCTCTGATGGAACAGATGAAGCTCCATTTAGCCAGTGATGCAGGTAAACAGCTCACTAAGAAGATCGGTCTCGTTTACCAGATGAACATTGCCCCAAAGGTCTCTCTCTCAATTTCAGTTTATGCCTCGTGTTTTCGTAAACTATACTGACCGAAAACACATTGCGTGGTTATTAATATTACTTCTATTATTATGTTTTGACCTTTTATCATTTACTTGCTTTTTCATGTTTTGATGATATGACGAGGAATTAGAAGACGATCATCTTCTATCGTATTAGTATATTCATCTTATTGCTATCTTTGTTTTTTCCCCTCTCCGTGAATTTGATATATATGGGTTTGGCGAAGTTGTGCATGTTATGATAAAATGATTCATCATTTCCTGTTTTTGGTTCATAATATTTAGGATTAGTGGGGAGGTCTTTGACCAATTTCGGTTTCTTATGGAAATTCTGGATAAGGTCTATATCCCTTCAAATATGGAAGATAATCTTATTTGGGATATAGAATTCGATGGACTATTTTCAGTTAAATCTTGCATCTTATAGCCGTCTGTAGCGCATTTGATCCTTCATTGCTCCTTTGCGTCTAGGATATGGGGCCATTTCTTGTGTAAGGAGGATGCAGAATCTGTAATGCATTTGATCCTTCATTGCTCCTTTGTGTCTAGGATATGGGGCCATTTCTTTTCGCTTTTAGGCTTTCAGCACACGATGCCCCAAGAGTATGCAGGGATTATCTCGGAGTTGTCAATGCCCTACTTACCCAAGATTGGGTCTGTAATTTGGAAGATTCTGCATGGCTTAATTCCTTGGGAGATCTGAAAGGAAAGGAATAGACATACCTTTGATGGAGTCTGCCTTACTGTTGAGAGAATTCTAAACAAAATGTTTCATTATTTATGGTCTATTCTTGGCGTTTCCAAAGAAGGGAGAGGCATTTTGAAGGTCGATGTTATCACTAACCTTCCAAATCTTATGATGGTGGGAGTGGTGAAAAGTAGGCCGGTGAGCTTTTGGACCCCCTCTACAGGGGACTTTGAAAATGAACTTTGATGGTAGTTCGTTGGGGAACCCAGGCCCTGCAGGTGTTGGGAGACTTCGTTGGGGAACCCAGGCCCTGCAGGTGTTGGGGGTTTGGGCAGGATGGCTATGGAAATGTCCTTTTTAGTTTCGCAGGGCCAATAGGGGAAACCACAACAAATAATGCTGAATTACTTGTCCTCCTACAAGGTCTCGAGATTCTGCAAAGTAAAAACTTGGGCATTTGTTGGCTAGTGGAGGGATACTCTTTGAATGTCATTAAGGAGTTGCAGCTTCCTTGGAAGCTAGTACCGATTTGGTCACAAGTTATGGATATTGCTTCTGTTTTGTCGATATCCTTTTGCCACATCTATAGGGAGGCCAATTCTCTTGCTGTCTCTTTAGCTAAATTTGGTTCTTCTCTTCCTTCTCTCTTGATTTGTGATGATGTAATCCTGTTTGGGTAATTATTAATAAAGGTTCTTGATATTTGTCAAAAAAAATTAATATTTAGGTATGCTTTCTTTTCTCTTCACTGTAAATATGCTGCCTTTTTGCATTAATTTATTTTGGTACATTAGTTTTGAGATTTACTTACCTAGATTTGACCCCTTTCATGGTTTCAGAAAATTGGGGTTGATGAGGAGGTGTATGTTGTTGATCTCAAGAAGGGTGAGGTTACCAAGGGTGAGACTTAATCTTCTACTCCATGGTTCCTTTTGTTAGGTTTGAATCATACTTTCTTCCCACGCCACCCCCCTCCCCCCCCTCCTCTTTTAAGAAGTGATTAATTGAGCAACATTGTAGACTTTAATTGTGATTTCGAATTGGGCATAGACTGCTGGATTCCTATTTGTATCATTCAAAGAATACAGTAACAAATTTAATAGAAAACTAGAAGAACGAAAATTCACCACAAAAAGACTTCAAAGAATGCAAATGCATCTAAAAAAGATTGCGATGACCATAAGTTCATATTGTTTTTATTTATGCATGTTTTCAATACTTTAAACGATTGGTATTTTGTATGCTAGGGCCATATGTAGGGAAACCTGATGTGACCTTTTCATTCAAGGATGATGATTTCATGGCAGTAGCACTGGGGAAGATGAACCCCCAGATTGCTTTTATAAGGTAATTATTGGTCGAATTGCTGGTCTTGAGCTTATAACTAGTACTTTCCAATTGCAGAGTTCAGATGTTGAAGCAGATATATTCGCGCTGGACCTAATTTCATATGTTTAAAAGACTTTAAATAACGCTGAATTGGAATGTCATGTATATGGTTTCTACACTATTGGATGTACTTCATATTACTAATGAGTTACAATGTGGTTAGCGATACCTTTGTATTGCATATGAAGGTAATGAAGATGCATCATGACCTCAAGTTTAGTTATTCAGTCATATTTAAGCATGATAAACCAGTTATAATAATTCTCGATTGTTTATCTCTTCACATTGATAAAGCAATCTAGTGAACTGGTGATCAGAAATGGCATTCAGGTATTTTAACAAACATCTGATATGCAAGAATGAGTCTAAAACTGCTTTACTAATCCTTGAGTCGAGTCAGTTCCTTAAGTCAAAACCTTAAATTGGTTGAGATTTTGGACTATCACAGGTTATACAGGTTGGTTCAGGAGAGTGTAGCATCACCTTATATGGTGGTGAAATGGTGGAGAAGCATGTCTGGAAGGGGGATTTTGGCATTATAATTATGTAGAAATGATAAGGAGTTCATACTCATAAAAGAACAAAATATGTCTTTCTCAAGTTAACTAGATGTGCCCTTGAGTTTTTTTTTCTTTTTTCTTTTTTCTTTTTTCTTTGTTTTCTTTAGTATTTGCCCTTATCAATGAATTAAAAAGGAGCTGTATCATTGCCAATTCACATTGGTTTAGTTGGAAAATTGTGCTTGTGCCACTTGCTATTGTTGAAATCGAATCATATTGGCAAGATGACCTGACTAGTTTTCCACAAATATCTGGCCTCCCATGGTTTTGATAGAGCCATGCATCCTATTCACTTTGGGCAGTGGATTTTTCTTTGATTTCTCTTAAATTTTTTCAGGGGTGCAATGAAGATTAAGGGTAGCTTGAGTGCTGCTCAGAAGTTTACTCCTGACATATTCCCAAAGCCTTCAAAGCTTTGAGTTGGTACGCAGAGGAGACAACCTGCCATACTTTTGGACAAGAAATCATGATCAAGACATTCTGTTCTGGGATATATAGAATTTTCAAATGTCCTACACATGTACTAAATAAGTTCCCTATTAATATTATCCAATTAATCACATGTCCTATGGAGCTCCAAAGTTCTGCAGTAAGTTGTACTTCATTATGTTCAGTATCTGTGTAGCAATGCTGCTTTCCTTTTTCATTTTTTTTTTTTGTATTTATGATTTTACCTGAAATATTTCCACACAAAGATAAATGCGTCTGTATTTGGAGTTATCTGTATTTGGAGTTACATTCACCAATATGTTTTTTGCCTGAGATGTAGTTATCTATTCTAGATTCATAAGGTAAAAAGCTTATGCAAAACATAAACTTGGATATATGGGAACAAATTTAAAAAGTATACAAAAGTTTCAGGCTCTATTATTGCTGTCCAGTTTTCAGTGTACTTCTATACCCCAAAATAACAAAGATATGAAATTGTGATGCATTGCTTGGATTCAATAGTTCTCACGTGGACTAACATGATGTAGTATTCTAACTAAATTCAAAAAAGACAATGAAAATCCTTAAATTTGAATAATCATTACGATTGGGATTAGTGACGATTATTAATAGTCACATTTTCTTAGTTTGGCAACAATGACTTCTATCTCTTCTAATGATTCTGCATGCAAGTCACCATTGATGGACATTTAGGTTCAGTTATTTGAACTCTAAATCAAAGCCTGAATTGGATTGACAATCCCCTTATGCAGTGTTAGTTTGAAGTTTGATTATGAGAATTTGGGCTTCAAACTTCGAATGCGCATCCAAAGTACCACAGACTTCTCGAGATTATCTTGCATTTGTGAAAGTGATGTGCCTTGTACATGATGCTTGTAGGTTTGTATGCAACAGATCATTAGGAATTCTGTAACCTGTGTGGGCCTCTTTTCTTTTGTTATCATAGACCATTTTATTCCCTCCATAGAGTCATGAGGCTCGTATCGTTCTTTGGAAATTGTTCTCACTTATATTGGTTTCTTATATGGAGTCTCTGTCATCCAAAACTAGTGCATATTTATGATTCATGTTCTCAGTCTGGTTCTCCTTTGAGTGGCTAGATTGCTTGCCAGTGTAGCAGGCTAACTTCCCACACAAGCATTGTTTGAATCTCTATGATTCATTACATGTGGTGGCCTTATTGTGACAGAAATTTTAATGCAGAGGCTCTGCATGAATAATACATTGCAAGGACTAATTAATCCTCTCATACTTTCTCATTAATCACTTTCTATAGTTACTTGTTTTAGTCCTCTTTTTTTCCTTGCTATTTCTGACATGGACTGGGAAGGTTGTTTAATTTTAGTATATTTGCTCTTTGCCGGTTTTTATCACTATTGTCTTTCGTTTTACGAGAAATGGGCATAGATCACCCCCACGCAATGCACTATGTATAAATTTATTAGAACACCAATTAAATCCAATTCATTTGTTCCTTAGTCCTGTGAAATGCTCATTAATGTCTACATTTGGGGGTTCCATAAGTTTGATAAACGAACCTCGAGATCATCCTTTCCTAGGATGGAACGATATGGATCTGTATCAAAATTTACTTTTAGTGCTACCCCACTGTCTACAAGCAGAAAATCATTCCTTATCATCTTCTATTGCTATCATCTTTTGTTTAAGCTGTCTCAGGTTCTTCACCCAAATTGTAGTTTTTACACTTCCAGATGTTCCATTTGAGTAGCAAAAAAGAAACAATGACAAGGATGTGGCTCTTTGATTTATTGCACCAAATCTATTGGGCTTGTTGTATTTTTTAATACTTTGAGGGAGAATATTGAGCATTGCAACTTAGGAGCCCATGAAAGTTTGATCTTTCTCCATCAGTCCTGCTCCACTTTTTAGTGAACTCTATTAAATGAGGCCTCTTCCATTGCTTTGTTCTCTCAAATAATGGGAAGTTTTTTCTCATGTATATGTACTCTTTGGTGCTGCTTTTTGCTTAGAGATGAAGATCCAGTTTTTGTGTTCGGCGGTGGCACTAAGTCCCCTTACAGTATATATGCAGAAAGGTGCCAGCTTTTTTTTTTTTGAGGGGGGGGGGGGGTAGGAGGAGGGGGGGCCTCTGGTTTCTTTAATAGTTCATAGGGGGTACATGGTAAATGTTTTATTGGAAAATATTGAATCCTTACAAAAGGAGAGGTCAAAGGCATTACCATTACATGGTGTCTGTATACCCATGCACATAGGCGTGATATGCTGATTTGCCTGATGAAGAAAATGCACTTGTTGTATCTGTTAAAGAGAATTATTGGGTGTTTCATTGCTCCTTGTCTCAACTTTGGGAAACCAATTTGTGGGGAGTGAGGTTAGAGACCATACAACTTCATGACTGTAATCTTTTGAGACTTCTATGACGTTGTTTCCCTGGTTTTTGCATTTTACACATCATAAAGGAAGGAGCCGTAGACGTGCTTCATTTGGACTGTCATACTAATCATATGTCTCTCAGCTCAACTACTCTCTCAGCTCAACTAAATGTCATGGGCCATCATTATTTACTACAATTTGAATTGCATATGTTTGTTGAACCATGTTTTCCAATATTGCTGAATTTTCAAAGTGGCCATACTTGTATTTGGCATCTAGTATATGTTTCACATCCTCAACATTAGTAACTTTTATTTTTTGATGATTTCAACATTAGTAACTTTTATTCAAAAGAGTACAATACGTATTTGAGCAAGCAAATTTTAAAAGATATTTTGTCGTAACTTTCAACAATTTTATAGTGTGTTATTATAGGGTTAGGAACCATGTTGACTTGCCAATTGGCAAAACATATCAACACAAAATCAAAATGAAAATAAGAAAAATAAACAAACAAATGACCAAATAAAAAAAACAAAAGAGCTAGAAAATACCAGTATTTGAATTAAGACCACACCTTTCAAGCCCCCTCAATTTCATCTTACGACACATTCTACAGTGTTAAGAATAGACGTATTTTGATTTTTGAGCCTCTAAAACTAGACCAGATGCCTAAAAATTGACTCATCGGATACTGTGGGGGTAGGGCTAACAAAATGCTATATGAATTGGTGGAAGTGTCTTTGACATTCACCATCAATGGAATCGCCCAAAATGAGATGATGGCATGTATAAAATCCTTAAAAAGGAAATATTGGGGAATGGGGCATGCTTAAAATCCTTGAGAGCATGTAAACATTGTATTTATAGTGACATTGTACGCCAGTGGAATTGTGATCTATGTAGGACTAGAGAGGCATGCTCTGTAATGCCTATTGACTCACTCGGGTTGGGTAGTCTAGCTTCCAAATGGAGCTCAAAACCTTTAAGCCCCAAGCATGAGGCACGCCGTAGAGGGTTTGTAAGGTTAGCCCTTTTTGAGGTCAAAGAGATGTTCAATGGTGGTTTGCAAGGAGGTAGTGGGTCTCTTGTGTGGTTGATGCATTGCAACGGCAAGGGTTAAATCCTCAATTTTCACGCTACATGGCATGTATATATGACTACCCCATCTATGGAAAGTGGTACATTGGAGTTAAAACGTGTACATGTGCTGAAGTGAGCCCTCTGCACCATTACAATAATGTGCATATGTCCATGCATGACTTGTCTTTAAGGAGAACCTATAATCTGCACACTAGGCCCGTGTTCCCTCTCAGTGTTTTAAAATGCGGCCGCATCAGGCGCTATGTGCCACTCAACGCATCACACTTTCCTGCATATGCAGTTTGGAGAGATGCGCCGCATCAGAGTTGCATCCCGCATTGACTGCATCAGGTCGCATAATCTGTCCGCCATTTTTTTTTTCAAAACTGTACCCCATTTTGACCTTTGGAAATGGGGGAAAAGGGTTTGGGGGTATTAAACCACCCAAACAACATTTTTCAACCACATATGTGGTTTTTATTGGATCGATTGAATACAAAAAAAAATTTGGGCAAAAATTTTATTTGTCGAAGTTCTTGGTTTGTAATACAAGATACTACAACTAAAAGTCCATGAAGATTAAAAGTTACAAATCAAAGAACTTTTCCCAATACCTTTAAAATAAAATTTGTAACTTTAAAGAGTTTCACGGACTAATATAGTATTACAAATTAATGAATTTATAAAATTTAGTGATCTTCATAAATGCTCAAATATCTTAAAGTCACACCATTTTTATGAATTTATAAAGTTTATAAAAAGCAGACAAATCGAGTTTAAGAACTTCATGGACTCTTTTCAAGATTAAAAAGTTTATAGAATTTGTAACTTTAAAGTTTTTTGGTTGCAGTTTTGTACTTATGGTTGTTGATTGTTGAATGTTTTATGAAGCTAGTTTCAATTTTTTAGTTTCTATCAGGGGATAGTGGATGTAGAATCTCCGACAGGTTATACTTTTGGACTTAATGAATAATCTAAATATCTATTATCACATATATCACCTCCATATATTTTTTCTATGCATAACTTATGTTTTTAGATTTTTTAGAATTTTTTTATATTTATTGACTGCATCGCCTCGATACATCCGTATCCGGACAGCATCGAGCTGCATCGGCCCCCCAAACGCTTTTGGCCGCATCCCGCATTTTAAAAAATTGTTCCCTATATTTATTAACTAGCTTTGATGGACCAGGCCTTAACCCTTGCAATAGACTTCTGGTCATGGGTTCTATTTGAGAAAATGGACTGTGGACCATGGTAACTAGCATAGGCGGATTATCTTAGTGATTACGCATATTCCTAACCTGATGGATTCAATTCTCTTCTAATTATGTTTATTAATGTTTTAGAAGATTTACTAATAAGAAAAATTATTTTTTAAAGTGCATTATACATTTTAGTTTTACATCATAGATTTTTATCCAGAATAAAAGGGATTTTAAGAATATTAAAATTTATGAGGCTTTTTAAAAACTGGGAGGGCCTTAAAAATTGTGTGGACCGCACATCGCTTGATTATAGCCTAGATTGGGAACCAATGGCCAAAGGCCCACATGTGGGGCTTACTTCTTGTGGCCTATAGGGGTACCTTTGAAGTTGGACTATATATACCGGGCAAGTGTATACCAATTAATTTTGTTTTTATTTTCTTTATTTTCACCACCCTGATTACTTATAGATGTCCAAATACATAATGAGAAACAATAAAAACACAAAGAATCTCAAGGACTCTCACTTGCTGCCACTTTAACTATTCTTTATTACACAAACAAAAGTACATATACTTGATATTGGGATCATGCAGCACAAGATACTCATGGGAACAAGAAAACATAAAAACTGTAAACCATAAAGAAAATTGCCACCAAA